GGTGGTCGCACATCTTCACGGCGGAGCAGCCCGACAGCGTCCGGGCACGTGGTGTGCAGCATGAGGCGGCCCTATTTGAAGTCGGCGATGACCTGATGATGGGGAGGCATAGCTCAGGCTTATTGCTATCGGTGATTAAGCCCTGCAGCTCGCAGGTCATTATGGTCAGTCATTTGGCTGCCTACGATGCTCGCCCATCACACTTCAGGCCACACGACGCTGACGCCTGTGCGCTGGAGTAGTGATTGTGGCGCCAGTGGCTGTCACTTATATGTCCCACAACTGCGCAGTGCGGGCTTACCTAGGTGCTACGCAGTTGTGCGGGCCCCGCTATCAGCGAAGGAGACCGCTATCGGCTGTACGATACGAGATGCGAACGGCCCTCTGGAGGAAGATAGCACTGAACGCTAATCGGTATTTGTGGTGTTCACCGAATGGTGCATCGGTCGACTTTCTGTCGTCCTGCCCCCGCCACCGCCTCTATTGCCGCTCTTTCCGCCGCCCCCTGCCACCGCCCCTATTGCCGCTCTTTCCGCCGTCCCCTGCCGCCCCCTGCCGCCGTCCCTGCCCCCGCTTCTTCCGCCGCCCCTGCCGCCGCCCCCGCCGCCGCCCCCGCCGCCGCCCCTGCCACCGCTCCTGCTGTTTGGTCTGTGGCTGCACGTGGTCGGAGGGGAGGGCTCGGCCTGTTCAGCCCAGCCGGACCACGTGTCGGCACGCGGCGTGACCCTCGCCCGTCCGTCCGAGCCTGTGGGGCCGGGACAGGCCCAGGGGCGGAACCACGGTTGGGCGTGGGTCCGACCAGCCCTCGGGCGGTCCGTGTCGGTTCCGCAGCCCGGTCCGTCCCTCCCCCGTCCCCCCCCCCCCCCGCCACCTCACCATGGTAATCGTCAGAGGGTCGACCCCCGGCCCGGTCCGTCCCTCCCCCCCCCCCCGCCACCTCACCACGGTAACCGTCAGAGGGTCGACCCGCGACCCGGTCCGTCCCTCCCCCCTCCCCCCCCCCCCCGCCACCTCACCACGGTAACCGTCAGAGGGTCGACCCGCGGCCCGGGTCGGCGACGCAGGTAGGCTAATGGTTCTGATGACACCGTTCTGTCCCCTGGTGGATTCGTCACCAGGGGGCCATCTGATGGTGCGTCAGCCCATCAGGTGGCCATCAGCCCATAACCGCCTGATGCCAAATGTGACCCGGCGGCCACATGATGGCAAACTTCGCCTGGCGCTCACATGACGGCACCACACTGGTGCTGTCTGTGGTAGCTCCACTCTTGGGCTGCCGGATAACTCCATTGGTGGGTGACCGCCTGAGACGGCTCTTCATCGTTCGTCATCATCTGGAGACCACGTGATGCCACTCGCAAAATAGCCTCGCCGCAACCCTAACCACCTGGCTGCCACGGGCGGCCGGCGCGACGGCTCGTCCTTCGGCAGCTTCCCGATGGCCCCATCGCCCGGAGCCGAGCGTGGCCGCCGTTTTTGCGGCACGGGTGCAGCCGCGTCCCCCGCTCCTCGGCCCTGACCGTGGGTGTTTTTGCGCCGCCTGCGCCTGACCCGGCGACACTGGAGCCACCCCGTCCGTCGCGGGCGGGCGCGGCGCCCCGCGCGAGGCGGGAGGCGCCGCGCTGTCCGCGGCACGGGGACCGCCCCCTGCCCTCCCCTCCCCTCCCCTGACCCGTGCCCGATGTCTGTCGGTGTTGTTTTACAGCCGGGGATTGTTTTGGGCAGCGCGCCGGCGTCGTGCCTTGTCAGCGGCAGTTGCGCTGGCGGCGCCTGGCCGGCGATTTGTCCCGCGCGGGCTTGTTGATAGGCGGCGGGTGCCAAGTGACCAGGGGCACACAGGGGACCAGGACCAGCAGCCCATGTGACGCTCCATGCTGCAGACCGGTGCCGCCGCGCAAACATGAGTTTGACCGCACGTAATGAGCGGAGGCTTCCAAGTCACAGCCTTGCGTGCTCCTCGAATGAAGTGCCCGGGGCGGTCACGCGACCGACGCGCCGCACGCGCGCGTGTCCTACCGCCAGCGCCGGTGAACCTCTGGCCGCTCTGGCACATCCCCGGAAGTGACCTCTGCAAGTCGCCGGCGTGCGCGCCAGCGGACCGCGGCTGTGCAGGCGCGTATCTGGGCGTGCTGCAGCGCCGCGTCCTCAGCCCTCCGGCGGAGCGCAGGTTGACGCGCGCCTCTCATCGCGGCGGTGCGTTACCCTGCGCAGCAATTGTGTTAGGCGCTCGCTGCTGTGGCGGACTTTGCGACGCGGCAAAACAGATGGAGTAGATAATAGAACGAAGGCAGCGGCTGGATCGGCGAATATCCGCCTACGGTCACACAGGCCGGTCCAAGAAAGAAAGCCTCCTCCTGCCCGGGAGAAAGGCGAACGTTTCAAAAAGCCAGACAAACCAGCAAGTGCTTAGGTTACCACCGTGACAAACTGCTGACAGCTCAGCGCCGTGACAGAGTGGTGACAGATCAGTGCCGTGACAGGCGCGCCGGCCGTGTCGCGCCGCGGCCTCAGCCGTGACCTGCTCGGCCTGACCCGAAGTGACCGGTCACGGTCGAGCGGCGCTGCCGCCGGCTGGGCAGGGCCGGCCGCCCTGCCGGTAGCAGAGCGGCGTGCTGAGGTCATCTCTCCGGGCGCCTGTCTTCTGTGGCAGCGGGAGCGATGCCGCGCCGCCACGGGTCGGACGGGCTGGCCCGCGGCGGCCGCGTCCAGTGTCCCAACAGGCGGCGGTATTAACATTCCGGGCGACGGCTTCAGGCCCCTGGCAGACGCGCCACCGGCGGCGAGGGCGCCGGTAACGGGCCGGCCAACCCTTCACCGACCGGGCGGCCGCCGCCGCGCCCGCCGCCGCGCCCGCCTCCTCCCAAGATGGATGACCACTCCTGCCCGGACGCGGCGCCGAACGGCGCGCGCGCGCGGAAGACAGGCTCCTGTCGGGGAATGTCGTAAAAGTGTCGGACGGTGCTACTGCGTTGGGTGATCGGGAGGGACTGGCGGCCGGGTCCGGCTGATGGGGGTCGTTTGGCGGGCCGTGTGCCGCGCCGCTCGCCAGGTCCAGCTTGATGGGGGCCGTTTGGCAGGCCGTGTGCCGCGCCGCTCGCCAGGCCCACCTTGATGGGGGCCGTTTGGCGGGCCGTGTGCCGCGCTGCTCGCCAAGTTTAGGCGCTCACGCTGCGGATGCGCGGATCTCTCGCGGATGGAAGACAGGCGCCTGAGGGCAGGGCGAGGGGCGAGGGGCGAGGGGCGAGGGGCTAGGGGCGAGGGGCGAGGGCGTGACGACCTGACCTCGGTGGCGAAAGGCGCGCGAATCGGGGGGGGGGGGGGGGAGGGGGAAGCGGATGGACGCTGTTGATCCCCACTGGCGAAACGCTGCGTTTGCGTTATGAATGAGTTATGAATGCAAAGGCTTTTGTGGTGTTGGTTTGAGGCGGTTGAAATGTTTGTGTTTGAACCGGCTGATGACAAGTTTTCAGTCTGTCCTGAGCGGCGCTGCTGCCATTGGCTCCTGTACGAGCATTAGGCGGCTTGTGGTGGCATTAGCCGGCGCTGGGACGAACGTCTCCGCGCCTGCCCAGCGCAGTGGCAGGGCGCGCCACCTGTCCCTGCTGGGCGGCCCCCGGAGCCCAGTCATGGCCGAAAGGCCCGGCTGCTCTCTCTTGAGGTCATCGGCCATGGCAGAGGTCCGCCGTCCGCAGGGATGTCGTGCGGGCGGCGCCAAAATGGGCGCCAGAGGGGGCGCCGCCGGCCACATACCCCTGTCCCGTTTGGTACGGCGGGCTCTCCGCCGCTGGCGACGCCGTAACCCCCCCCCCCCCTCCCACCCCTCCCCTCTGGTGGTCCGGAGGTGGGTCAGCTGTCTGAAGTCACGAACAGCGGACTCGGGAGACGACCGGGAGGACACTGATCATCGCTGGCAGGATTTGCAGAGAAGAGCGTGCTGCACAGCCGTCGGAATGAGCGTCCTCCAGCGGCGAAATATTCAGATTAGTGCTGCACAGCCGTCGGAATGAGCGTCCTCCAGCGGCGAAATGTTCAGATTAGTGCTGCACAGCCGTCGGAATGAGCATCCTCCAGCGGTGAAATATTCAGATTAGTGCAGCACAGCGGTCGGAATGGGCGTTCTCCAGCGGTGAAATATTCAGATTAGTGCAGCACAGCGGTCGGAATGGGCGTTCTCCAGCGGCGAAATATTCAGATTAGTGCTGCACAGGGGTCGGAATGGGCGCCCTCCAGCGGCGAAATATTCAGATTGCGCGGGCGATTAGATTAATTCAGATGAATGTTTATCTTTTCAGTAAGCTAATCAATTGCGTACTATTTTTTTATTAAAGATGCACAAATGATTCAGATATAATTGATTGAAATGATTCAGATTCAGATAAAATTGAAATTTTCGCGTCCGCCGCCGATAAATTGCACCGCATTATGCGTGCACGCTGTCCATTACATTTCTCTTCAATAGGGTGCAAATCTGAGCCGAGAAACGGCGGGCTGTATTTGTGTGTCGCGGCGCGGTCAGGGTCGGGCCTTCCTCACCAGTGGCACCGTGCCGGCTTGCGCTTTTCTCACCTCCTGGTATCGTGGTGCCATGTATCTTGTGCGTACCGCAGACACGCGCGTGCACGGGGTCGTTTGCGGCGACAGGTGAGCTACGAACGCTCTGCAATGACCGCCCGCCGGCGTGGTGTGTCGATCACTGGCGCCCGGTCTGACAGGCGATGATGCCACCGACTCGTCACCCCGAGCTCCAGCGAGCCTCTCTCCAGGACCTTCCTAGGGGGCCCCGAGTCCCAGCGGGCCTCTCCAGGGCCTTCCTGGGGCCCGAGCTCCAGCGGGCCCGCGTGGCGTGGTGGGCCGAGCGACCGTGCCGGTAACCGACCGAGCCCGCCGCCGGCGTTGTGACCGGCCGTGACCTACCGTCATCGGCCGTGACCGACCGTGACCGGCCATGACCGACCGTGACCGACCGTGACCGACCGTGACCTACCTCTCCTCCTCTGCAGATTGCCGGCCGTGCACGGACAGCGAGGTGCTGCTCAGCTACTGCACCAGCGATTTCGGTGAGTCGCCGCCTCGACCGCGTCGGCCGCCGCCGGCTGCCGTGCTGACCTGCTCTTACTTGCTGAGCCCTGCTCAAAGGTCGAGGACTAGGAGCTGACTACTGGACCGGGCTCCAGCCCAGGCGGGCGGGCTCCAGCCCGCAGGCTGCCGTCATTGATAAGCGTTTGGGAGTACTGGACCGGGCTCCAGACCGCAGGCTGCCGTCATTGATAAGCGTTGGGGAGTACTGGACCGGGCTCCAGACCGCAGGCTGCCGTCATTGATGAGCGTTTGGGAGTACTGGACCGGGCTCCAGACCGCAGGCTGCCGTCATTGATGAGCGTATGGCAGGCTCGTGAACGCTGCTTGTTTTCGTCAGTGACAAAGTTGACGGTGGCGACGTTGATGGCTAAAGCGAAGCAAAAACGGCGCGTGACCCAAACCGTCGTTTTCCAGCGATGCTCGAACGCATCCACCAGGAGGCCACCATGATGGAGTAACGTCGCGGTGGGGTGACTGGCGGAATGCGCTGTTTTAGCATGGGGCGTTCATCACGTCAGGTTTTGCGACTGGCGGTCGCGTCGTGTGTTTGTGCATTAGGCGTATGACGATGCATGGAGGGAACAGGCCCGAGAAGTTCCATATAGCTGGCTCAGCTCCCCAAGCATGTCCCGCGAGTGTCGGCTGGCGAATGCTGTCTGTGCCGCGATGCCGCAGGGCCCGTGCAATGGTGTGCCGTCATTACTTCTGTCATCACGTCATCACCTGTGAAATAGCACTTGGTCATTGGCCTCGTTTACGAAGCTCCAGCTGGAGATATGTGCTGGACCTTTTGGCGTTATGGCCAAAAGGTCAGCGCCCTCGGCTCCCACAGGTCCTGAATTCGATATCCGGTTGTTCCACGGCTCCCGCAGGTCCTGAGTTCGGTTCCCGGTTGTTCCACGGCTCCTGAGTGCTAACGTGACCACTGTAGTCTCGGACGGCTCACAAACGCGCTTCCCGGCCACGTGCGTCGCGTCCCGTAACAAAAACAGCGAGGCGGGCTCGCTTGCTCACGCGCTGCGGAGCCCCAGCGGAGCTTCGCGGCACGACCGCCAGGTGCGCCACCACCGGGTGTCCGGTCTGCGGACTGGCGTCCATACCCGCGCGCGGGCCGTTCTTGAGGATCCGGTCGGTGAAGTGTGCCCCGGACGCTTCACCGAAGAAGCTGAGATGGTGGTGTGCTGGGATAGTGGCGGGGCGGTCCCGGTGTCAAGCTTCGGACCCGCCGGCCGGCACGCTCAGCAGCTGTCGGGCTCGTAGTGGCGGATCGTGCCGTCTTGTCGCGGCTCGCACGAGATCTCGTGTTGTCTGCCTCGGCTGCGGAGGATTGTGTTGTCTTCTTGCAACTCTCATAGCATTGTGCCGTCTTCTTGTATAGTTCACGGACTGTGCTGTCCTTTCGCAGCTCTTGCGTGATTGTGCTGCCTCCTTGCAGCTCCCACACGTCGCCCTGTTGGAGACCTGATCGCCCGTTAAACACGTCGCCCCGTTCTGCAGCAAGCGGCGTTCCACCTGTGCCCCCCCCCCCCCCCCCGCCCCCTGCGAGGCCGCCCACAGCCGGGCGGCACCAACGCGGAAAAGCGGCCACCGAGCCGCCTTTTTACTGACCGTCTTCAGCTGCGCTGGACCGGGCCGCGGACGGACCGGACTGCCGCGCGGGGTCTCGCGTGTCGTGCCGGCTGCCAGCTGCGGCCGCGCCCGACCGATGGCCCGGCTGGTGTCCGCCCAGTGACTGCTCGGTGGCCGCTATGTGACCGCTCGGTGATCGCTCGGTGACTGCTCGGTGACCGCCCAGTAACCGCTCGGTGACCGCTCGGTGTCCGCCCAGTGACCACTCGGTGACCGTTCGGTGACCGCCCAGTGACCGTTCGGTGACCGCTCGTTGACAGACCGTTTCTGTCGGCAGTTGTGCGCGGCCAGATCACGGGCGTCGAGCACCACGACCGGCTGGACCGCAGTGCGCTGCTGCTGAGCGCTTCGCGCGTCATCCGGCAGACGAACGACATCTTCCGAACGAACGGCGAACTAACGTTTGGCGACGCGCCCGCCGGGGACCTGAGCAACCACGTTAGCGACCGGTACCGGCCCGCGGTGCAGTTCGCCGACAGTGCGGCGACGGCCGACACGGCTGTCAGGGGACGCGTGTACGTGCCGCGCCACTGTGGCGCGCACTCCGGCCGCGCCCAGTACCTGCTGATGGGGCGGCACCGGCTCGGCGTACCCATGGTCACGTGCTCGCTGGCCGTCGATGAGTGGCGCCGCATCCGGGCGGCCGCCGAGCGGTCGGCCACCAACGAGTGCGTGCTGGAGACGTAGGCGCGCGCCGGGACCGGTGACGCCAGCCGCGGCCGACCGGGGGCGGTGAGGGGACCGCGCGGGGAGAGCGGCGCGAGCGCAGGGCTCGTCTCCACGGCCTGCGATGTGATTGCTTCTTCTTATCTGTGCCGATGCTACGTAACCTTTGCTTATCAGTGCAAAGTGAAGACTGTGATATGCATGTACATAGTGCAATTGATGGATGAGAGCGTTTAGCGTAGCGGCAACGTTGGCTGGGTCCGACCGCTGGGGCGAGACGTCGGAGATAGAAGGCGTCTGGGCAGGGCTCGTGTCTGCCTATGTTCGCTTCAGTACTGCGTGCCCATTTCAGCGACAGCTGTGAGATTATACAGCAGTTACTGACCGGCTGCTGCGCGAGTCCCTCACCTACCCGTCAGCTGGTGAGGTTGACATTGCTCGCGTTGCTGGTCGAGCACTGCGTCAGGATACTTGTGATAGCGAAATCCGATGATACTTTGTTTTCCATTCAAGTGCCAAAACGACGGTGTAAAAGGTATGAAGTGCGCGTTGCTGATCTACATAATCGAATAACATTTGCGCTACGTCTTGGCCCGGCTGATATCCCAGAGCTTTTAACCTTGACCCAGTGCGGCGACGCGTTCCCTTCGTCACGACCCTGACCTCGGGTCAAGGGCATGTTGCGCTGCTGCGTGGAAAAACAGGGTACGTTTCATCGTCGCACTACGGTGTGGACTGGCGGCGTCTTTCCATGTAGCCCGCTCTTTTGTAGCCTAGGCGTCAGCGTCGCAAGCGTTTGCGGGGCCGTGAATTCTGATGTGCCAACGGCCCGGGAGGGCGGTGGTCTGGGGCTCGGCAAGGTCTGTGCACGCCGCCGCGAGCGGCCGTCAGTGCCAACTGTACATAGCACGGTGGCCAGCCCCGTCAAAGATTGGTCGTGGTCGACCGTCGTCGGCGTGAACACGGCGGCCCACATTTGTCCGGTTTGAGCCGGTTTTAGCTGGCACGCGCTGCGCTGGTGTGTGGTGGGCCTGACTCGGTAGACCAGCGGTCCATGTGACCCGGCCATGGATGTGAGGACCACTGACTGACTGTGCGCCGCCGACCGAGTGGCATTTGAGAGCCACCAGCCCGTGATCTCTGAGCGAGCCCGCTGCGTGAGAGTGTCATGCTAGCGCCGCGGTGTACAGTGAATATACCCTATACACGTACGGAGGTGGTGTTTTCCTGGCAGTCGAAAGTAGGCGAGCGCCTTATTGATTCCTGGCTATTCCGCGCCAGAGCGACGGAGCACAGCGCCTTGTCTCCTGGCGGGTCCGCGCCAGAGCGACGGAGCACAGCGCCTTGTCTCCTGGCGGGCTCGCGACAGAGTGACGGAGCACGGCGCCCTGTCGGCTCCTGGCGAACCCGTGCCAGAGCGGCGAAGGACAACTGCAGCCGAATGGAGACAGGGACTGCGGCCGGCTGGAGACAGTGACTGAGGCCGGCTGGAGACAGGGACTGAGTCCGGTTGGAGACAGGGACTGCAGCCGAATGGAGACGGGGACTGCGGCCGGCTGGAGACAGGGACTGCGGCCGGCTGGAGACAGGGACTGAGGCCGGCTGGAGACAGGGACTGCAGCCGACTGACACACGCGACTGGCCGGCAGGAGCCGACTGAATACTAACGCGGCATTTGGTGATAATGTGTTTTTGGATATTTGAGGCTAATCAGAATTTGTAGGCAAGCACAATGCATATATATATATATATATATATATATATATATATATATATATATATATATATATATAAAGTGTAGAGAGCAAACTGAGTTAAGTCAGATTAATTATTGGCACAAAAGTGTCCAGATCCGAGGCTCGACATGCGCGATCGTCTTCACGCGGACTGACACCACCACCAAAGATATCCGAACGATGGGATCGTTTTACCCCAGCCTGTTACATCAAGCGCTGGGGATTTGGACGTGCGATGCAGGTCCATCACGCGGTCTGTTGTGACTAGATATTTTTCGCGTTTTTATTAATATGGTTAGCATGTGACGTAATTGCCAGTTACCGGATGGTCTTTGCAGAGAAACAAAACAGCTGGTATGCGGGTACTGCGTGACGCCAATGACTTGTTTTGCAATGCAGCCGTCAAATCAGTAAATCAAGGCGACGACTCGCTTTTCCGGTACCTGCACACCATGTCAACTTTCAGCACCACCCACCCACAAACAGCTAGCGACATCCACTAAGGAACAGTGAGTTGCCATTCCGGGCGCCATAGCGCACACCATGACCATCCAGTGTCCTGGAATTGCCGACTTAAGGTGTAAAGCAACACCCTATGAGGAGGGCTTTTTCACTCCTTTTTCCCATATTTTATGTGAATTTTTTACTCCTGCCTGGCATTGTCTAATCGCACACGCCAAACCCCTATTTCGCTTTCTGAGGTTTTCAGGTGTCATTCAAAATCGACCTCACTTGAAACCACCAAGCATAAACGAGGCTCCGCAGAACCTGGAGACCCATGGCTATGTCCTGCCTCACCTACATCTGAATCATGTCTATGTATGCACAGAGCAAGGGCGCCAGGTACCTCCAAGCTCAAGAACCCTAGCGACCCCAGCCGCTTGCATGCATTAAGTTTGGTTTGTTTACAAAATGCATCACAATCTGAACCTGTGCGCCGAATGCAAGGTTTCCACGCATCCCCTATTTTTTGGGTCTCACCACTACACCACAAAAGCAGAGCCTGGTGCAAACACCAGCAAGGCATGGTAGATAATTTTACTCCACGTATTTCTTTTTTCCCAAGGAAACTTGACCACTAAATTGCATCACTCCCGAAATGCATGAGTGAAAAGTTCAAGAAACGTCTTCTAAATTAAACTTACAAGATGAATATCACCATTTGAGCACTTTTATTAACAAATTTGAAGTCAAATCAGCTGATAACGAAATTGTTCGAGAAAAGTACCAGTATTTATATTGATTTAGCTACTTTTGTTTTTCTTGGTACCATACCAGTGTATGCCACTTTATTCTTCCTTCCTTTTCGATTGTCTTTAGAGGCACCATCTGCTGCTTAAAATTTTGCCTAATTTCTCTGCAAGATGCTCCAACTGCAAACTTGTACGTATTTCATACATAAATTGGATTAATTCGCCAGCCGCCCAAACATGTTTGATATGCACCCAAGCGTGAACAATTCACAGGGAATGAAGGAGACAATTTGAAGCATGGAACTTATTTTTGCCGCCATTTTTGCCCTCTTTAACCTTCGGTTAACCGTTTTCTTGGTTCATGGCGGTGCTCAATAATGATAAATCCAAACCTTTCGAGTGTCTGATTCACCAGGCTACCTGGCAAGGCTATCATAATGCTGCCACATCAAGCCTTGGGACAGACATGACGCAGCTAGTACAGAAGCGTTTGATGGCGAAATTCTGCCCTCTGGAGATGTTTATCATGCACACCTCTTACTTGTTTCGCATCTTCATCTCGAAGGTTGGTGAGCATGATTGATATTTATATTTGGGGGGGGAGGGTGAGTCGGATGACTCTGTCTGCCAGCAGACCACGCAAAGGTCCTGAATTTTTGTTTTGGGGGGAGCAGGAAGGAGTCAGCAAGTCTCCTGTGGACCAAGAAATTGCTTACCTTACATGCTTTCAACACACGATTGGTAACCAGAGTTAGCTATTTTCTGGTTTGGTGCATCGAGTTTTGCCATAAGACAAATTATGATGCCACAAGGCATGCAATGGGCTTATTTTGTTCCATATTCTTGGTTATTTGCCGGAAGTTTCTTAACGTGGTCCCTCATGGCTGCTTTGACCAGATGTTTTCTATAGTTGTCATGGTTTGCTGACCGGCAAATGACTGTGCTGTATATATGCACTGTATATTTAACACAGGGATACTCTAAGCTGCATAGCAATTATAATATGAGTTAAATATTGGTATGTAACAAATAGACCACCCCATTTAAAATGTGAAGCCAGCATCTCAAACTTTGTCATTAAATATGAATAAGCAAGCCCAAATGGACGCATATCCCTGCAGCTGAAAAGGCAAGCAGCAATCCTGACATGGTCTTCTAAAAGTTATGTTATTTTTGGAGAACAGAGATTGTTTTGTGGAGCATACCCATTATGGCCCTTGACATAGGTTAACCATGACAACCAAAAGAAATTGTTCAAAGGGATTTAAAGTGTTTTTGATTTGTGCGTTGTCAACTTTGTCTGATGTTAACAGGCATACACAAATGAACTGAATGAAAATGCAACTTGAAACCAGCCAAAAACTAGCTTTAAATATCATGTTTTTATCACAAGAGCTGCTGTCAACAGACAGATGAGTTGAGATGATGTTCATCATATGGGCTACTCTAAGTTAGGTTAAGTTGGTCAAGTGCATGGCAAGTGGCAATAGGAATTGTGCAAGAATCAGCAACTCACGACTGCTGCTGTGATGCAAACAGGTTATACAGGATGCGATGATGTGAGGCCTCTTTAGGTTAGCCTTAGGCTACTTTCATATAAACAAGCATTGGTATTTTGTAAGAAACAGCGACAAAATGTTTGTTTTCCCAGACCCCATCTTAACAGAAGCCAGAAGTATGTCTATTGTGTTTGACTTGGTGGTGGGCTGATATGTAGGAGTCCACTGTTTTTTGTTGTTGTAGCGTTTTATGCTTGTTGAATATTCTGTTGTTATTTTGTTATTGAATTCCTTTGCTTCGTTTTGTTTTAAAAGTGTTGTGGAAGGGAATTGAAAAGTGCAGCATCAAATTATTGGTGTTAGAAATTTGTCATGCTCATAATACTGTCATGAAATTACTATGCTTTTACACGCGCCCGGTTGGCCAGCTAGATACCCTTCGCTCGGGTGAGGGGGGGGGGAGAAGGGGGGTGAGGTCAATTGGACCCCCCTCTGAGATCTCGGGAACTAAGAAAGCTAGAGACACCAAATTTACATGGTGTCTTGACCTGTACCTGAACTCACTTAGGTTAAAGTTTGAGCTTCCTAGGTCATGACCTGCAGGTCGAATAAGATAAAAAAAGGTCAAATTCCGGGTTGGTCTCCAAAGCGCCCCCAGAACCTAGGCAACTGTCTCTAAGCAAAAGGTCGCAAGCCCATTTGAGGTCATTGACCTTGTTTGACCCTTTGAAGGTTATGGTGACCAAATTGATACAAGACCTCTCTGCGTTTTGCATTTGAATAAGCGGCAAAGAGTACGCTAGGCAGTATGTTCCTAAAAAAAAAAACGTTGGTCCCGGGTCATCTTAGGTCAATGGCCTGTTCTGACCTCTAAGAAGTCAAAGGAAGATGTAGAATGCGGTTCCTGCTGTCAATGAATTCGAAATGAGCACCGGAAACTATCCCATACAGCAAGCCCTCGAGTAATAAATCAGGTTGGTTTTGGCCTTGGTCTGGCCATCATACCTGACCTTAGGTCAACGTAATTTGCTCATTCATTATTTGTGGTGCCTAAGAAAGCATCTCAGAGGTGTATGTCTTCGTCAAACACCCCGTTGTTGTATCAGATTGAACGATTCCCTAGAAATTGCCTTCACTGAAACCATGGGCTGGCTTTGACCTGTCATAGGTCAGCGACCTTACAAGGTGCATCTAAAATTTGTATGTCACACAGCCCGTTTTTTTTTTTGGTGTCCATCTGCATTTAGTTTTGATATTGTTTCTCGTACCACATATGTGTCACAAAATCACGCATCATTCCCTCTTTACATACCATTTGGAACGATTTCAACTGCATGGAGCAATACCGCAAAAATTGATACTCTTTTTGATGCCCGTATATTTTGGTCTTCTTTATATTCATTACATAAGAATGTACCAAAAACCTCCTGTCAATTTTTGACAGAATGCAGACGAAGCGTGAAGACAAAAGCATAAATGGGCTTAGGTAAGTCCCGAGGTGTGATTTCACATGGTCTGATCAACTCAGTGAAGGGAAATAACAGAAGCAGGCGGTTTCCAATATGTCAGAAATTTAGGTTCTGCTCACATTTGAACCAGCATTTGCACAGAGCGCATTGGCTTATTGTTAAGTTTGTTGGTGTATTTACCGGTTTTTTGGACTGTCAGTATGGCCTTGAGAATTCAGGAATGATTTGCGAGGTTAGATTATGAACTTTTTCGTCGTCTAAATTATGCGCTGCTGTTATCAGAACGTAATCAGACCGTTGTGCCGCGGCTAACGGGGT